GTGCTGTCCCTTGGGATAAGGCACCTCGCTGGCGCTGCCGCCATCCCGGCCTCTCGGAGAAGCCAGGACAGCAGCACGAGCATCAGGTGCCTTGGCAGGGCCGGGAAAGGCTTTGGAGATTCTTAGATCACAGCTACGAAACAGCAGCCCCCACAGAACATTCCTGGCTAGTCACCCACTGCCGACACCCACACACGGGTAAATGCCAAACGGATCTACAAGAAACTAAAGATAAATTACAGGCTTGCCTGATATTCTCCCTTCCATGCTAGCTGCCATGGGATTTGCCACAAGGATGACAGGCAATTGCAAAAGAAACATGGAGAGAGTCCGTGCAACCTTGCCTGGAAAAAGGACTATACAGATCAAACAAGGGCGAATTGCAAGGAAAAAGACTCTACTGTCTTTCCGAGGAGTTGGTGAGTGTCACATGAAGGAAATGCTGCTTCTTTTGCCTGTGCATTTGACATATCTTCATGCTTGTAAATGTAAATCCCACATGTGCTACTCAACGATTATATTCTACTTTTTTTTTTTTCTTCTTCTAAAAAAGACAGTTTTCTAAGCCCCATCGTACCCATCCCCAAAGGCGGCTCCAGCGCGGTGCTGTGAGCGGCAGCTCTGCCCGTTCCCCTCGGAACGGCCTCGTCTTCCTCCTCACGCTGCCTGCCCGGGGGACGCACCGGACAAGGCACGGCGGCTCCTCGGAACCGCCGCGCTCCCCGGAACCGCCACCCTCTGAGGGAGCGCCTCATGCTCCTCTCCCGAACCCCCTCACGCTCCGTGGAGCCCCCCCCGACGGCAGGGAAGGGGGAAGCGAACGCCGCCGCCCCACAGGAACCGCTGCCGCGAGCGCCGTGTTCCCGCCTCACCTTGCGGATCACGGCCCACGCGCCGGGCACAAGCAGCAGCCACGACCCCGCTGTGCGCGTTGGGAAAAGGCCCAACTTGGGCCCATTTGGGGAAAAGCGGCCCCGAGAGCATCGGAGCCTGTTTTCCACACACGGCTCCGGCACGGACAGAGCCATCAGCTCCGGATCCGCTCTATTTCCGTCGCGCACACGTGCCGCGGGCCGGGCCGGCTGCCTGGATCGCTCCTCGCCGCAGCGCCGGTCCCCTTGCAAACCCCGATTCCCCGGTACTTCCCAACGCAAGGAATGCCTAGTGCTTTTCCTCTAGGAACCACGTAAAGCGCACACTTAGAAGGCCTGTTAGGGTGGGATTATAGGGACGCTTTGCAAACTCGCCCATCCTAATGTGTGCAATAAAAGGAGATTTCACAGATCGTTTGTCAGATCTAGCAGGGGATGAAAGCTTCTTAATGAAATTAAAGAAGAATCATTATTTTCCATAATGATTTCCATGGCACTGCTGAGAGCTCCAGCTCCGAAGCGCTAAGTGAATCCGGGCAGTTTGGCCACCTTCGTAATGCACCCAGATTAAGTATCTCCTATGGCTGTACTGAGTGTATTAATAAAAAGGGACTACTTTCAAGCAAGAAAAACAGAAAAAGCAGAAAGAGGTAAAGGCAAATCACTGCATAATTGCAATATGGACACTGATTTTTTTAAATATTTCTGTTTTATTTTAAACTAATGGACAAGCCGTCATTACTAACGAACACAACCCAAGTGCTGCCGTCACTGTCGCCTCTCTGGAGGTCAAAACAGATTCGAGTCCAAACACACGAGCGCCAGAGCCTCAGACAGCCCCTATGGAAGGCCCTTTGCTCCAGATGTAACAGTTTCATGCTTCGCTATAAACAGTCTCCTGCAGAATTTGCAATCCAAATATTGCAGTCATGTGCCAGTGCAGAAAAAAAAATAAAAAAGAGAGAGAAAAATAGTAAAACCAACTAATCTGTTTTCCAAACTAAAAATAGGGCAAAAGAGGGGAAAGCGCAGCTGGCGAAAGCAATTTCAGTTCTTCGATTCTGCTGTTCTAGGAAATGAAGCTTTTAAACATAACACAGCTGAGCTTTATGAAAGGCACTCGGAGGTCAGCTCTGACACCTACAGCAAAACGCAGCTTCAAACACGGTGACTGCCCGTTTGCAGGACCTGTGCACGCAATTCATTGAGCCTGAACAACAGGTTTCGAGCTCTCGGGATGAAACAACTCCTTCCCCTTGTCCTGATCCTGCCGTCTCTCTCATCCCTTCCTTGCAAATGCCCAGACACAGCAGGAACAAAAACACCCCATGCAGAAACAGCTTCAAATGAAGGCATAACAAAAAGAACAAGGAATTAATTCATATGCAAATGGAAAGCAGAAAATAAAGGCGGATTAATGATTCAGTAGCAACATTCTTCCAGGCAAATGAGCATAGCTGAAAAGAGAAACCCAAAGGGACTATGAATTGGAGGGAAAGGAAACAAAGCTGCAATGTAAAAAACATCGTCCTTTTCTTCATGTTCAAAATACCCCAGTGCAAAGTGCTCATAGCACTTACGGATCTGCCCCACCAGCCCAAAACACGGAGCACCCGTTGGCCTGGTGGGAAAACGGGAGAAGCTCCAGAGCCTGCTGTGACTCCCCATCCTCACCGCAACTGCCCAAAGACACCGAGAGCACCAGGAAACAGCCAGGTCAGCAAGAACAAGGGCACTTCGAGCAGGGAAGTGCTGCAAGGGCGCAGGAGTGATGGCGACATTAAGCAAAAGGATCAGGAAGCCCCAAAACATGAAAAGAGCAGGTTACCTGAATGGGAACTACACACAGAAGGGCATTTGCATCATTTAATCCCGGGAGGAGCGGTACCCAAGGATACACCTGAGCTCCGGTACCCAGGAATACACCTGGGCTCCCTCCACTAACAACTGCTGCCATCTCCCCCTGCCTGCTAGGAACGCTCCGGCGCCTCCGGAAAAGAGGCCGGCCCGTGCCGACCACAACACGCTGATCCGAGGGGGAACGGCCGGAACGCTCGGAGCTTTGCCGGGTCCGGTCCCGCAGAAACGCGCTTTAATCAAAGCGCTGCGCGGATCTAGCAGCGGGCTCTGCCGCGCTGCTGCCTTGGTCCAGCACCTGGAGAGCAACCGGCGACTTGGAACCGCCTCGCACGGAGCAGGCTGCTCATTTAAAGTTTGCAAAGGTCCTTCCACGACTCCAGAAACTCTCGAGATCTATCACCAGCCTTGGAGCAGCTGGTACAACCCGGCCACGGAGAGGCAGGATTCCCAGCCTCCAATCCCTTGCTCCGCCGCGGGCACCAGGTTATTTTAACCCTTCTGAAGGCGCTTCAAGCGACTTGCTCCGCGTCTGGGCTTCCCCTCCAGTGAAAATGGGAAGCCCTCGATGCTCCGCGGCTCACGGAGCGCTCGGGAGGGCAGCAGGGCCTCGGTGTCCTCGGAGACGTGCCGCCCTCCTGTTTCGTCACGCTGTTCTCATCTTCCAACAACGCAGGGGGACGACTTGCCCGTGGCCAGAGGTAGCCAAGAACCACCCGCTCCTGCCGCGC